GACTTTATTCTCGTAATACTAGGACTTTATTCTCTTAATACTACAACTTTATTCTCATAATATTGCTACTTTATCCTCGTAATACTACGACTGTATTCTCGTAATACTACGACTGTATTCTCGTAATATTGCAACTTTACAACTTTTTTTAGACTTGAACAGCAAAAAAGATAAAAAGACAGATTGTTTAAAATCAGTTTCAATCTTACTCAGTTCAGAGAGGGACGAAGCCTTGATAAACTTCACCTCCTTCTCAGTTTCATGTGCACAGGTGTGCCCAGAATTACTGAGCATCATTTGAATGCATCACTGCTCATCAGAGCTTCAGTCATTTAGTTACTGAGAAGCTGAACTGTTTTCACACACTGGAGTTAACCACAGCTTAGTTTTCTAAGAGTTGTTCAAGTCAATGTATTATTTTTATTGAATATCATTGTGTTAAACATATTTATGCTGCATTAGAGACCCCCCTCCCCTCATGTTCTCTGGCTGAAAGTCGTCATCCCCCATTGTTTTGTCCAATTAGCCGCCCTGAACATGTGTATACTCTGAGATCACCTTCTGGGGCCTAAAGATTGTTTGTACGTTCTTATTAACAAACATGAAATGTGCAATAATGAAAACTCTTCATATAGTTGTGAAATTTTTTGAAATGTGTAGAATGGATTTTGGTGATTTTATGTGTGCATTGATTTGATAAGAAATCAGTAAAGAGCTTTAATAAACTTTTATTGTTTTACAGGCAAGAGTCAACATCAGAACTGCTTTTGAACAGGAGACAAGAAGTTCTGCACCTCAGGCTACCTTCAACTGAATGCTATAAAATTCACAACATTAGTTCTACATTTTAATTTTTACTTTTTTTATTGTTTGTGATTTGTTTTCATTATATTTTTTTTTAGGATAAAATATTTAAATAGTAATGTGGTCTCTTCTCTGGTAGGTTATAGTGCAGGGTTTCCTGTAAAGAATGGATTCTGATAAATGATACGAGTGGATGATGTAAGTATATACATAATTTTTTTATTTTTTACTTTTTTATATTATATAATATATCATTATTTAAGCCCTAAAAGGTAGGTCCATCCATCCATCATGTTTACCCTCTTCTTTCTTTTCAGGTCGCAGGGGTCACTGATCCAGCAGTCACCATGTGAGAGGTGGGGGACACCCTGGACAGGTCTCCAGTCCATCACAGGGACACATAGAGACAAACAAGACAAACAACCATTCACTCTCTCTCACACACCTAGGGACAATATAGAGTTACCAATCAGCCTAACATGCATGTTTTTGGTCTGGGGGAGGAAACTGGAGTACTTGGAGAAACCCCACTCATGCATGGAGAGAACATGCAAACTCCCACCAGAATGGACCCCGGCTGGGATTTGATTCGGCGATCATCTCATTGAGAACTCTACCAAGTGCACTATGATGTACAGTCAATCTATTTTTGATCAAATAAAATAAAATAAAAAAAAATTCTGGTGCTGCCCTAACATATCTAACATGCAGTGAAGTTGTTTGTAAGTGCACTATTCTTACTTCCATAATGCTTCATTTACTATAACGCAAGTAAAAATAATCTGTAGAGAATGAAAAAAGACAAATGGACTCATAACACACTGGAGATTAATTGTGCTGATAATAACCTGAACATGAGAGGATATTATAAAAACACTCATACTTCTTATTTAAAGCAACTTATTGAATCTTCAGTAAAAACTGAAGCAGCTCTTACACAAGACAAAGCACAAAGACAGGTTAACTTTATTTAACTGATCCTAAATATTCCCACGAGAGACGTCTTAGTTTGCATTCTCTCTTTCTCAGTTTCAAACGGACAGATGGACCTCAATGTGTTTTAATGCATCACTGCTTTTTGTTCAGATCTACACCATGAGTCAAACTGTTGGGTCTTAATTCAGTCAGAGCTCAAAGTTTTTTACAGGCTCAAAACTTGTAGTTGGTAATGTTACAAAGTTTGACACGTTTAGATTCATAGAAATGTAGGATTTAGTCAAACTTTGTTAAAATCAGATCTCTCTTGTAAATGAGTACCCGAGGCGCAATACCTGTATAAAAAATGGTTGAATGAATGAATGAATTTATTTATTTGTTGATAATGTTTTTATTTTATTTATGAAATCTATTGGATGCTGATTTGAACATTGATACAACAACAAGTGTATTTCATTAAATGTGTACAAGAACAAAAGAAGCAGAGAACGACTGAAGTATTACAACTTGCAGAATTACTTTTATTATCAGTTTTGTTTAATACAATTCTGTGTTAAAATATTTTATAACATAACAGCAAAGTATTTTTTATTCTGAAATGTGACGTTTTTATGAAAATCTATCATTTCCAAGACGTGAAGTTCTGCTGAAGTTCTAGTGTGAGCAGCTGTCAGGGTCCAGGCTTTGAGTGACAGGACTCCGTCCATCCTGATTGGCCTCACAGCTCACTGAGCCCGCCTCCCTCCACTGCTCTGCAGGGAGGCTCAGGGTGCTGCTCCAGCTGTAGAGGCCGTCCCTCCCCAGGACCTCCAGGCTGTTCGACACCCCTGAGGACCTGCTGCTGCCCCCCACCTTCCAGCCCAGCCTCCAGGTTGAGGGGAAGCCCCCTTGGGCCAGACACACCAGAGTGACACTGCTCTGCTGCTGCTCTTTGGAGGGGGGGAGGACGGTCAGGGTGGGCTGCACCACACCCACTGGAGGAGACAAAGAAGCAGAATGAAGGCTGATCAAAAGTCTCATTATTGATTATTGATCAGATTCTTGTCTGAGTGTCATGAAGTGTGACAGTTAATCAATAATCTGTGATGATTTTCTGCAGTTTAATGTGACGGAGCTGAAACAGTCGAGTGAAAACAGTTCAGAGTTTGTCGTGTGTTTCTTTCACTTCCTGTAAACTTCATGTGAAACAAATGAAGCTGAACACAAAGCTGATCAGTGTCGACGGACAAAACCACATGTTGGTCAAAACTCACATCAACTTGAAATATTCACTAAATAACACACGACGAGTCCAACACATTTAAACATATTAAAAAAGTATTAAAAAATTATGCCTTTTTGGAAGTAAGAAAAGTTTTTAATGCACAAGAAAAAATATAATTAGAAAAATGGACAAAAAATATATCAGTCTTTTAGAAAAATATTGTATAAAGCTCAAAAAAGATTTTGTTCAAAACTCACATCACAGTTTAAATATTAATAAAATAAAAGATGAGTCCTCCAAATTTAAACAATAAAAAGTTTATAAACTTGTTTGTGCCTGTTTAGAAATAAGGAAGTTATCTTATGCAGTTTTTAAATTACCACAATTAGAAAATTTGAAATGATAATCTTTTAGAAAATACTGTATAAAGCTGATGTTGTCAGTTTAATCATTTACAACTCAACTGATTTAAACATCTGTACAAAGCTCAACTTTCAGATCATCCTTCATTTTTCAGAGATTTTAAATTTATTAACAATTAACAAAACTGGTAACTTGTTTCAGCGTTTAAATCAACTAAATGTTACGACGGTTTAATGATGAAGTCAACGGTTCAGGTACTTACAGTCAACGATGAGTTTGGTTCCTCCACCAAACGTGAACCACAGTGATACAAAGTCATGAAGCAGCCGTACAAAAACCTCCTGCTCTCTGAGCTCACATCTATCCACTGAAAATATATATTTTTATATATTTAATCCTACAATTTACACTTTATTTAAAATGTACATTCTTACCTCTCAAACAACTTTAAATTGTTTTTTGATTAAAGTTATGGTAATAGGATTTTTTGCAACTCTTTAGTTTTTAGATGTTGCTTGTGTTCATTATTTATATAAGAATAAATCTTAAATTATTCAAAATCTGTATAGACATGCAAACTTAAAGCCAAAATAAAAACTAGCCTTGTAATATTTCAATAAAATAAATAAAAACAAACATACTATGCATCAACATAATAAACAAGTAAATAAAAAGACATGTACCTGCCTCACAGAAGAACAAATAGAATCCAAATCCTTAAAACTTTTTCATTATTTAAAGTTGTTTGATTCTAATTCATGAAGGCAGTAATCTGCTTTAATCCAAATGTTTTTCTCCTGTTTGTGTTTGTGCTCAGAGTGTGGAGCTGATAGAAATGATTTCCATAGATGTGAGGCTTTGCATCGTCAGCTGGTCCTCCAGAGAACTGAGAAGGTTTATAGTCCTGTGAGTTCAAGCTGCAGGACTCAGATGTGTCAGTGAACACAGCACAAACAACAACCAGCATGACTCTCAGCACCATCCTCATGTGGACGCTGCTCTGCTGCTGCTTCACAGGTTCATTCACTCACACACATTCAGACCATCAGGAGCTGACTTTGCTCTCAGTCTGTGTGTTAATAATAAATGATTTGTTTCTGTTTGCAGGATGCAGCGGTCAGGTGACGGTGACTCAAACTCCAGTACAGACGTTTACTCCAGGATCCACTGTTACCCTGACATGTACTACTAGTTCTGCAGTTTACAGATGGAATAATGGTAATGAGGGAATGTCTTGGTATCAGCAGACACCAGGACAGCCTCCAAAGCTCCTCATATATTATGTTAAACAACGCCAATCAGGAAATCCAGCTCGGTTTAGTGGCAGTGGAAGTGGCTCTGGTTTCTCTCTGATCATCAGTGGAGTTCAGGCTGAAGATGCTGCAGTTTATTACTGTCAGAGTTTCCATGTCATTAATGGTGCCTATGTGTTCACACAGTGATTTATGGTGGTACAAAAACCTCCTTCAGTCAGACTGCAGACGCTCTGAGCTGTTAGAGCAGAAACTGCAGCTGCAGAAGAGGAAGACTCTGATACAGACACTGAACACAGAGCTCACACTGAACTCAACAAATTGAAGAACTCAAGTGGATTTGTGTTTGTGCTCCAAAATATAAAAAATACAATTGAAAACAGAAAAGTTTTAGTCTTGAAGATGACCACAGTTGAAAGCAAATCATCATAAAGCAAAACTAGAATTAATATATACAGTGTATTGAGAGGCCACAAAGTTTCTTTGTCCTCTGGACAGACAAAACAAAACTGGAGCTTTTTAGTAAAAAGTACATCCATCCATCCATCCATTTTCTCCGCTTATCCCGGGTCGGGTCGCAGGGGTAGCAGCCTAAGTAGGGAGGCCCAGACTTCCCTCTCCCCAGCCACTTGGTCCAGCTCCTCCGGGGGAATCTCGAGGCGTTCCCGGGCCAGCTGAGAAACATAGTCCCTCCAGCGTGTCCTGGGTCTTCCTCTGGGTCTCCTCCCGGTGGGACGTGTCCGGAACACCTCACCAGGGAGACGTCCAGGAGGCATCCTAACCAGATGCCCGAGCCACCTCAACTGGCTCCTCTCGACGTGCAGAAGCAGCGGCTCTACTCTGAGTCTCTCCCAGATGATCGAGCTTCTTACCCTATCTCTAAGGGAGAGCCCAGACACCCTGCGGAGAAAACTCATTTCGGCCGCTTGTATCCGAGATCTTGTTCTTTCGGTCACAACCCAAAGCTCGTGACCATAGATGAGGGTGGGAACGTAGATCGATCGGTAAATTGAGAGCTTCATCTTTTGACTCAGCTCTCTCTTCACCACGACAGACCTGTACAGCGCCCGCTTCACTGCAGACGCTGCACCTATCCGCCTATCGATCTCACGCTCCATTTTTCCCTCATTCGTGAACAAGACCCCAAGATACTTGAACTCCTCCGCTTGGGGCAGGACCTCCTCCCTGACCCGGAGAGGGCACTCTACCCTTTTCCGGCTCAAGACCATGGCCTCGGATTTGGAGGAACTGATCCTCATCCCGGCCGTGTCGCACTCGGCTGTGAACCGCTCCAGCGAAAGCTGTAGATCACGATCTGATGAAGCCAACAGGACCACATCATCTGCAAAAAGCAGAGACGCAATCCTAAGTCCACCAAAATGGATCCCCTCAACACTTTGGCTGCACCTAGAAATTCTGTCCATAAAAGTTATGAACAGAATCGGTGACAAAGGGCAACTTTGGTGGAGTCCAACTCTTACCGGGAACAAGCCCAACTTACTGCCCGCAATGCTGACCAGGCTCTGACACCGGTCATACAGGGACCTAACAGCCTGTAACAAAGGGCCCGGTACCCCATACTCCCAGAGTACCCCCCACAGGGTTCCCCACAGGGTTCCCCACAGGGTTCCCCGAGGGACGCGGTCGAATGCCTTCTCCTAGTCCACAAAGCACATGTAGACCGGTTGGGCAAACTCCCACGCACCCTCCAGGACCCTGCTGAGAGTGTAGAGCTGGTCCAGTGTTCCACGACCAGGACGAAAACCACACTGCTCCTCCTGAATCTGAGGTTCGACTATCCGACAGACCCTCCTCTCCAGAACCCCCGAATAGACCTTACCAGGGAGGCTTAAGAGTGTGATCCTCCTGTAGTTGGAACACACTCTATGGTCCCCCTTTTTGAATAGGGGGACCACCACCCCGGTCTGCCAATCCAGGGGAACTTCCCCCGATATCCATGCAATATTGCAGAGTCACGTAAGCCAACACAACCCCACAACATCCAGAGCCTTAAGGAACTCCGGACGAATCTCATCCACCCCTGGGGCCCTGCCACCGAGGAGCTTTTTAAGTACCCCCTCCAAGGACTCCAAAAGGGTGGATAATCTGAACTGTCATTTGGTGCATAAGCACAAACGACCGTCAGAACCTGTCCCCCCACATGTAGGCGGAGGGAGGCCACCCTCTCATTCACCGGGGTGAACCCCAACACACAGGCACCAAGATGGGGGGCAATAAGTTTGCCCACTCCTGCTCGGCGCCTCTCACCAGGGGCAACTCCAGAGTGGAAGAGTGTCCAGCCCCTCTCAAGGAAACTGGTTCCAGAGCCAGAGCTATGCATCGAGGTGAGTCCGACTATTTCTAGCCGGAACCTCTCAACCTCACACACCAGCTCAGGCTCCTTCCCCACCAGTGAGGTGACATTCCATGTCCCAATAGCCAGCTTCTGTAGCTGAGGATCAGACCGCCAGGGTCCCCGCCCTTGGCCACCACCCATCCCACATTGCACCTGACCCATTTGGCCCTTCCCACAGGTGGTGAGCCCATGGGAAGGGGGACCCACGTCTCCTCTTCGGGCTGTGCCTGGCCGAGCTCCATGGGTAAAAAGCCCGGCCACCAGCACTCGCCCGCGTGCCCCACCTCCAGGCCTGGCTCCAGAGAGGGGCCCCGGTGACCCACGTCCGGGCGAGGGAACATCAAGTCCATTTGTTTTGCTCATCATAGGGGTGTTTGGGCTGCACTTTGTCTGGTCCTTCACCTAGGACCTGTCTGGCTTGGGTGACCCTACTAGGGGCGTGAAGCCCCTGACAGCATAGCTCCTAGGATCAATGGGACACTCAAACCCCTCCACCATGGTAAGGTAGCAGCCCAGGGAGGGGAAAAAAGTCCCATTGGCTCAAACAGTTTTTTTCCCACTATGAAGTATGATGTTCATGGGAATCAGTTTGTTTGTGGCTCCTCAGATTGAAGAAGTCCTTTGGATGAAGGACGAAACGTTTCAGCAAAAAAAGAAACCGTCAAGATGACCTGACTGAATACTGTTGGATTTTTACCTGGATTATTGAGCATGAACTTTTCAGTTTTTCATCCATTTAGTCAAAACAGGTTTCACTGGTTTCCAGATTCAGGAGGAAATGTGTCCCAAATGGTTTTGATTAGGTTCTTAACAAGAACCTCGTGTGTATAAAACAATTAAAAGTTGTTTTATTAAATTTTATTGTAAAGTCAGTGAATTAATGAGAATTTAGAAGAAGTGAATGAACTCTAAAAGTACATAATCTAGAATATGATGTCATTAAATTGAAGGATGCAGACGGCTCGCCACCTTTGGTGTCAGAGTTTTAAACTGATGTCATCAACAAAACTGTCTGGTTGTGTTTTTAATGGTCAGCTGGCTGTGAAGACCATCTTGAACTGGGTCGACTCTTAAAGCTCATCAGTCGTAAATGAACAACCAGTGGTCACTTTTTGAAAGATTAATACAAATTCAACAAATGGCTCATGAGATATTTTACTAACAGACGTATGACACACATATACGAGCAAAAACAGTATTGCCTGCCTTTGTTTTTATATTATTCAGCATAAACAAAGCTCCAATATTTATTTACTGTAAAATATTTTCTTTGCTGTTTCTATGCTGTTTGATAAATGGGATTTTGTATTTTTATTTGAACAAATATTTAGCACAAATAAATTCAAATTAAAATAAACCTTCAGGGAGGAAAAAAGTACCTAAATCAGTTATATTTGACTGTAAAATTGACCTGAAACTCATGCAAATTTCTATACACATGGGGAAAATACACATTTGAATAATAATAATTTATTTTTGTGTCATTTTTGCAGAAGTCTCTGTAATTTCATACTTCCAGACAAAAACAAGAAATCTGACATTTCCCTTTACTCACCTTATGAAAGCTTTCTGTCCAACCTTTTGTCACATTTAAGTAATTTTACAGAATTATCGTGTACAGCAAAGATAAAAAAGCCCCAACCTTTCTTAAAATTCATTGATTTACAGTATTTTATGTGAGTCGTGAATCTCTGGTTCTGAGACCAAAGCACAGATTAGGATTTACTGGATTGTTCCCATGGTGACGCAGGCAGCCATTGTTAGGCACGAAAGAGTGGTGCTGGAAATCTCCTCCTGGGTCAGCCCAGACTCAGTGACGTCCTGCAAACAGCTCCGAAATAAACCGACAACTGGAACAACTAACTCAACTATTCTCTTTTTCTTTATAACAACTAGATATGCAAAAAATAAAAAATAATAATCTAAATTAGATTTAATGTTTTGTAGTTCTAAAAATAATTAATTATATCCATTTCTTTTGAACTTGATGTTGCCAAAGTGTGAAAATCAAGTGGAAGAGGTGAAGCTCTGACCCGTTTTATGAATGAAACGGCTCGGAGGTGGTGGTACCCTTTAATGAGCTCTGAATGGTCCTGAAAGTCCTGCCTTTGACCTCTAAGCCTTGGTGACTGAAGGAGCCTGTTAGTGGGGGAGGGATGTGGATAATCCTTTTAGGAGATGCTTACTAGGAATCAATCCAGCAACACTTCCTCTCTCAGACCGGATCAGCTCCTTGGTGTTTAACAGGACCCACACCAGCTCAGGTTCTCAGGCTCAGTGGGATCTGTGCAGGTCTGTCGTACCCACAGAGAGACTCGGACATCGGTGGGCAGCAAACAGGGAACAGGGCAGGGGTGCTGGCAGGAGCTGAACCAGGATGGAGATGGTGAAGAGTCTGTACAAGCGTGTGGTTTCTGTGAAGATCCGGGCGTACGTGAGGGACTACTGCAGAAGGAACGGACTGCTGACGCTCTCCGTGTTCGCTGTCCTCACTGGCTGTGTCCTGGGATTCACACTGAGGACATTCAACCTGTCCACACAGGTATGGACAGACAGACACCACCAGACAGTTAGAGATGTACTTTTCTTTTACATCTGGCTGCAGCGCATAAAGGAGACGAGCTGCTGCAGAGGGGCAGAGGTAACGCTGCTCTATTAGCCCGAGTCCCTTCGAGCCAGTTATGTAAGAGCTAAAGAGGACTGGACGTAACAACAGGGTCAAGTCAGAGGTCAGGAAAAGAAAAAGTCTAATTAAAAGCTCTTTATTTTTTTTTTTACATTAAAACTGAATTACAAGTTTGTGAACTAATCATCAAGACTCATTGTAACATGTTTAAGGTAACTACAGCTTTAATATATACATTTAGTTTGCACTAGTAACTCGTTTTATTTCACTTTTGCAAATTAACATTTTTTTTTTATGTTCAACAATAAATGTATCGTGCAAAAGTTAATTTAAGAAGTTCGTGATGCACTTTGTCAGAATGCACTTTAATAAACACACACCTGCTGGTGTCTGTGCAAACAACCATACATTTATTTTGATATATGGTGTTAGGTGTTGTAGAATTATATAAAACAGAAGTCACTTTCAGTCAATAGGTGATAAATTAATGTAATATATATACATAAATATATATATAAACCTGAATAATAAAAATAACAATCAAATATGCCTTTGTCTAAGATCATTCAGAAGCCATTAAGAAACTTCTCTGTGGTCACATTTTCTTTACAGTAAAACATCTGAAGACAAAATCATAATTTCCTACAGCAAACAGTCTCACAATCATCCTGAAATGTTGGCTTTTATTAGTGCACATTCAATAATTAAAAAAACTGAACTATTTACAGGAAGTACCCAGCGGCGGACGAGCCCCCAGCAGCAGAACTTTGCAACATCAAACCTTCTTTTTCTCCTTCATCGAGCCAGGTGTGCTTGTTTTGCTCACAGGCCAAGATCTACTTCTCTTTCCCCGGAGAGCTACTGATGAGGATGTTGAAGATGCTGATTCTGCCCCTCATCACCTCCAGGTACTATTAAACAGAGCTCAGGTAATCGTTGGAAAAATTAATATTTGTGGGACATTTTTCAAAGTTATAACCCTGGGCTATCCTGGTGACGTTTAAATTAATGCTAAAGAAAATATGTTGTTGATTTTCCTCCCTACACTGTGGACAGGTATCCATCTCAGGCTCCAAGTGGTTCCAGTTTGATAAAGAAAACATTCATTTACTGGAGTGGCTAAATATGCTAATTATATTTAACCAATTTTTTGGTTTGAATTTTTTTTTTTTTGCGTCATCTTGTTGAAAACTGAATTAGAGATAAAGAAGCTAAAGAAACTATATTTGCTGTGAAAATGCAGTGAACACCGAGCGCTGAACGACTTCGCTGAAATCTGCTGAAGAAGCTGAAATCGAGGTGTTAAAAATAAAAGAAACATAACATTCATTAAAAGGTAAATGTAGCAAAATGCTAGCTAAAAGTAGCCAAAGGTTAGCCAAAAGTTTGTAATGACTAAAGGCCAGGTAAAGGAATAAAAGGGCTAGTTAGAAACTACAAATGGCAGAACGCTGGCTAAAAGCTACCAGTAACAAAAGGCTAGTTTAAAATAGCACAAAGCAAATAGACAAATGTAGCAAAAGGCTAATATGAGTTATAACATTTGACTTTAGTAAGTAAAAAACATCTGTGACGTTCATCAGTAATTTTATAAAAGGGCTAGTTAAAAACTCAAATAGGATTATTATTATTATTTTTTTTTTTTTAACTAGCCAAATGCTATATTGAAAGTATAAAAAAAGCAAGCTAAAAGCTAAAATCAGCAGAACGGTAACTAAATATTAAAAGTAGCATGAAAAGACAAAAATAGAGCAAGTGTTTTTTTGAAGGACTTAAAAATGTCATAATTCTTCTAACATTGGAAATAAAGTTGAATATTTTGAAAAAGTGTAAAAGTTACAAAAAACATGAGCTGAATGTTTTGATATTCATATAAATGGCTAAAATAGTATAAAGCATGAAGAAGTAGTTTGATTGTAAAAATTATACGAAAACAATGATTATAGGAGAAAAAACCAAAAGTGTTGCTGCTGTGACTCAGAGAGTGAAAGATTGTTCCAACTTGTAAACAACGAACGTTTTGCTGTCAATCCTTCGTTTCATTACAAACAACAGACGGGTTTTACATTGACATTAAAACTCACATTTCCACCGAGCGACAAACACTTCTGAAAAGTCGAGTTAAAAAAACGAGCACTCATCCACACAAATCCCAAAGATGACCTGAAGGATTGGCCTTCTGCGCTGCAGTAGATGTTTTTTCTTCCCCTCTAAGAAGCGAAACGTCTTCAACTACAGAACAAAAGAGTCGTTTTGCTTTACGTTTACTTTCCACGTCCTGGATGACTGAGGTCCACAGCAGCTCGTTCATCCACAGATTCTGTTTAAATGTTTCCCGTGCAGTTTGATGTCGGGCCTGTCAGCCATGGACACGAAGGCGAGCGGCCGGCTGGGAGTCCTAACCATCACCTACTACCTGTGGACGACCTTCATCGCCGTCATCGTAGGCATCGTGCTGGTGCTGATCATTCACCCGGGAGCAGGGGCGGAGAAAGAGAGCCACCACGGAGGCACCGGGCCCGTCATGACCTCGGCTGACGCTCTGCTCGACCTCATCAGGTTCATCAAACCGTCACTTTTTTATAGTGCCGCCGAGCAAACGAGTTCTGAGGAGAAGATCCAGGATCTTATTTACTTTCTGATAATCCACACCCACTTTAATTAACGTTTTTTTTACAACTAAAAATCATGATTTTAATCTAAACAGAAGACAAATTTTGTAATTCACGCCCCAAAAATCCAGAATTTTTCTACAAAATTTGAGATTTATTATTGCAAAATTTGTGTGAAGTATCAACAGAAATAATCCCATATTTTGTCAGATGAACAGTTATAATTGTGCAAACTAAAAGTGATTTCCAAACTCTGGATGTTTGTGTATTTTGTAAAATCCACTCATCCTTCTGTCGTAACAACAAAGCAGCCATTTTGTCCAGCCAAGAGATTTCTTCTTCTTTTATTAATGTACTTATTACTGTTTGTGCTGTAAATGTGCTGACTGCACAGATTAAAATAGCAGCCATAAGGCAGTACCAAGTCAATTAGAGTCTAAATGTAATATTATGTAATCACAAGAACCAGGAGGACATGGTGTTTGAAGAAGAGTTGCAGCGTCACTCCCACGCAGCACTTTGGCTAAGAATAGAGACAATTATTCGTGCTCGGCTAAGCTTGCACCTTTCCTAAAGGTGAGTCGTTTCACTTTGAGAGACTGAACGTCCCGTCTGCTCAGCCTTAAAGCAGAGCCATTCAAGCCCGGGTCACTAATGCCTTCGTCTTAAAGCTAATTAAACCGCTGCGATTGGTGATGGGGACACTTCAGCCTCGTTACGTGTCTGATGACGTCCCTGCCTGTGGCGCTGACGTCTGCTGCACAAATAAACACTGTTCCAGGACACTGTGCTGCCAGTACCGCCCCAGTGTCTAACAGAGCCAAACTGGGAGAACCTCTCAGTTCTTTGTGAGTTTGTGAACACAGATTTGCTTTTGGTTGAATCTGTGAATTCTGGTTAAAAAAGTAAAAAATTGTAACATAATAACAAAAATATAAAAAACGAGAAATTGCATTTCATGCGAAAATACAGTGTGAACGCTGAAATTAGCTAAAACATGCTGAAATGTAGCTGAAATGGAAGAACAAGCCTAAGTAATGAAAAGAAAGCAGAAAAACACATATTTGCTGAATTAGCTTTAAATAAGCAGAAATTAGCAAAAAACAAAACAAAAAAAAAAACTAGGAAATTAGTAAAAAGTTGAAATTAGAAAAAAAAGCTGAAAAGTAGATGAAAGAAAAAACTTAAGCAACCAGAAAGAAACAGAAATGAGCTAAAAATGTGGAATTAGCTGAAAAAGTTAAAATTAGCACAAACAGCTAAATAGTAGCTGAAATAGCAGAAAATGCTGAAACTAGCAGAAAAAAGTTGAAATGAGCAAAACAAGCTGAAATTAGCATAAAGAAGTTAATTAGGGTGAAATTAGCAGGAATTACCACAAAAAAATTGAATTTATCTGAAAACAGTTGAAATTAGCTAAAAAATGCTAAAAAGGTAGCTGAAAAGGTAGAGCAAGCTTAAATTATCAGAAGAAAGAAACAAAAGTTTTCCCCAATTAGGCTGAAAGAAGCAGAAATGAGCACAAATAAGTGGAAATTATCTGAAAAAGCAGAAATAAAAAAACAGTTGAAAAGTAGCTAAAAAAGGCAGAAAGAACCTTAAATTACCAAAAGGAAGTGGAGAAAGCACATTTTTATTGAATTGGGCTGAAAAGGTTGAAATGAGCACAAAAATGGGGAATTAGCTGAAATGAACATAAGCTGAAATTAGCAGAAAGTTAATTAGGCTGAAATTAGAAGAAATTATAAAACCTGAATTTATCTGAAAACAGCTTAAATTAGCTAATTTAATTTAATTTACATTTAAAAATGTAGCTGAAAATGTAGAACTAGCTTAAATTAACAGAAAAAAAGCAGAAACAGCATTGTTGCTCAACTTGGCTGAAAGGAGCAAAAGTGAGCAAAAAAAATAGAAATTATCTGAAAAAAGCTAAAATTAGCAAACAAAAGTAACAGCTGAAAAGTAGCTAAAAAGGCAGAAAGAAGCTTAAATTACAAAAAAAAAAAAAAGAATAAAAGAACTGGAGAGAGCACATTTTTGCTGAATTAAGCTGAAAAAAGTTGAAATTTAAATGTGGAATTAGCTGAAATAGCTAAAATTAGCATAAAACAGCTAAAAAGTAGCTGAAAAAGCTGAAAATTGTAGTGTTCAATATTTTACCATACCACTTTATTTATAAAGCACATAAAACAGCTACAAAGCCAACCAAAGTGCTGTACAGACAAACAACAGGTAACACAAAGCAAAATACAAAATGAGGTAAATCAGAATATAGACATAAAAACGATGCAGATAATGACGACAAACCAGTGTGGAGCATACAGGTTCAAAACACAGATCCTCTGGTGTTGAAAGCTACTGAATAGTAGTGAGTTTTTAAACGGGACTTGAAAATGGAGAGGGAGGGGGCCTGTCTGACAAGCAGAGGTAACTCGTTCCAAAGTCTTGGTCCTGCTACAGAGAAGGCCCTGTCACCTCTGCGCTTAAGACGAGATCCTGGAACTGTGAGGAGCAACTGGTCTGCTGACCTCATTTTCAGTCAGAATTAATTCAAACAGTCATGTCTCAGACAAATATTGTTTTATAAATATGGGGAAAAAATCCATAAATAAGTCGATTCGGCATTTAAGTCGCAGGGCATGCAAATTATGCAAAAAAAATAACGTAACTTACACAGTGAAAAATATGGTAGATAGTTTGTTTTACAGTAACAAGTGCTTTGAGCACGTTTCTCCTTTTTTTGCATTATTAATCTAAACATGTTTAAACTAAACATTGTGTGTTGTGTTTGTTCTCTTACAGGAACATGATCCCTTCAAATCTAATTGAAGCTACTTTCCAGCAGGTGAGAGGACAAATATACGACAGCTGACAGGAAAATCTCCAGTAAAGTCCACCAGTTCAGCCTAACGCCTGTGGCTGTTCTTCTTCCAGTACCGGACAGATTTGGTGCAAACCGTGCAGAGCTCCAATGAAAAAGAGTCTCAGGCCAACTTTGTGTACGTCATGCCCGACTACCACAACCCTCAGCTGGGCCACCCAGTGTTCCTGGAGATCACTCCTGCACCCGACATCAAGTACAAAATCGTCCCCAGCACGAGCAAAGGCATGAACGTGTTGGGGATCGTCATCTTCTCAGCCACCATGGGTAAGAATCACCGCAAAACTATATATTTTGACATAATTAACAAATATGACGACCAGTGCTTTCATCTGTAATATCTATTACTATTTTTTGTAATTCTATTATTATTTAAGTATTCACTGTCCAGCTCGTTTGGAGTTACGAGTCAAATTCAGGACGTACAATCAAATTCAACTTTGTTCTGATTTATCTCCCAGGCCTGCTGCTGGGGAAGATGGGGGAACGTGGGTTACCGCTGGTCAACGTGTGTCAGTGCATAAACGAGTGTGTGATGAAGATCATCAACGCTGCTATGTGGTAAGTTGTACAGTTTATATGGCAGAGTCAGATTATGGTAGAGATTACATCTAACAGAACATAAAGAGTAGTTTATCAAACCATTCAGTGGAGTTTGTAGAAAACGTGTCCAACTGGGCAACGTGTGTCATTTTAGAATCCAAAGCCAGGAGCGTTGTTCTGCTTTAACACTGTGGCAACAAAGATTTGATCTCATTCAGCCACATGAATATTAGTGAGGTCAGATATCCGTTTCAAATCTTTCAACAAGTGTTAGATGTGACTAATGTCCGACAGGTCAGATTAAAACTTTTCTTTATGGACCTGCCTTTGCAGAGAAAACCCTTCTCTTTCAGTGCATGAGGTATTTTTTGTGATATGTTTTTCTGTTTTTTATATTACAATTCGGTGACAAATAATAGCAACAGTTTTAAGATATACTGGTCTACAACCACTATTCTGATAACGTTTAAATTTTAAATACAAACAGAATGCAAGGATTTGCAACATCTAAGAAAACAAAATTTTGTCCTCATTGGGACATATTAAACATATCAAGTGTTTAAACTACGAAATCGTATTGTTTTTAGTAAAAACAATTTTAAAATAATGTTACTCAAAGAAAAAATGGGAAGATTTTGACTATTGCATCCTCTACAGTTTATAATATAAACTTTATAATACCATCAAAATGTTTTAAGAATCTGGAAATATCTCTGAGCTCAAAGGATGAGGCTGAAAGTCAGTATTGAACGTCCATAATCTTTGGGCCCTCAAGGTCCACTGAACTAGGAACAAGTCTGATTCAGTTGTGGACATCACTGCACGAGCTCAGGGACACTTCCACAAATCAACATCTGTAAACACACACAGGACTCCACTCGTTTAAAACGGTCCGAGACAAAGAGGAAACTTCTGTGATGAATACAATTGGAAATTATTTTTGGTAGCAAGACACCACATCCGTTATATTAAAGAGTAGAGGGACTAATGAGCCTGTTATTAGGAAACAGCTCCAAGCCTTGCCTCTCTGATGGTATAGGGGTACATTAGTGCATGTGTGCATATATTAGTGCATATTCTAAAATTGCGCCGCTCAGGGTGACTGCACGTTGCATCTGTTACATTCATTCTGAGATTTGGCTTTTGGAAACTTTAATTCCTCTTTTGCTGGATGTAAATCACATTTTTTTGGTTGATTATTTCTTCTGGTATCTGATGTTGTGCAGCTGGAAGGATCTTTACTAAAACTTTTTAGTTTCAGACATTTGTTATGATGCGTAACCATAACAGCAAAGTGGGTTTTGCAACCGGGAGCAGCTGATTAACATCTCAAAAGCTCAAATAATATCTCAACTACAGCCCCGAATCTCAAAGGAGTTGAAAAGGAGGTGCCGTGGATGCATTCCCGTTTCTTTGCCAACAGTGCCTGACCACTGACCACCTAGAACTAGCAGGAAACACGGCTCGTGACAGCAGAAGGACAAGAAAAAGATCTTCCCCGGCACCTGCAGCCGTCTGTCCGCAGTGACGAGGAACTTGGCAGACAGCTAGGAGGAGTGGCCATCACTCTGGGAGGAGTTATACCGCCATTCAGGCGGTCCTGCTGGCCGGAGGAACTGAGAGACCAACCGAGTCTGAATGGACGGTTTGGACGACTTCTGTGGCCATTTTCTTTGGATCTGCTGTGGGATGGACCTTTTCAAGAGATCCTTCCTGCCTACAGCCATCAGTATCTATAACATCTCTTAATGAAACGATGGATAATGAGTTACACCAACATTTAATTTCGCTTTGGGGATTAATAAAGTAATTTTGAATTGAACTGAAGTGAATGTCATGGGTAGCTCACACATCTGGACAGGCACCATTAATGCAGAAAAGCATTGAAAGGTTTTAGAACAACTTGTGCTCCCATCCAGACTGTATCTTTTTTAAGGAAGGTCTTCATATTTCAGCAAGACGATGCTAAACTGCAAACTGTTCATTACAAGAAAATGGTTTAGTTGAAGAGTGTGACCCTGTGCTGGACTGGAGACCTGTCCAGGGTGTCCCCCGCCTCTCACACAGTGATGGCTGGATATGGACAACAGTGACCCCTGCGACACGAAAAGGAAGAAGCGGGTAAAGATAATGGACGGATGGAAGTTGGAGTTTGGATGCTGAACTGGTCTGCCTGTAAGAAGGACTAGACCAGGTGAACAGCTAGAATCATACATCAGACAAGAAATGGACAATTTTATCCTCCAAGAACACCAGCAGCTGGTTTCTTCAGTTCCTAGACGTTTATGGCCTTGTCCCAACTTTTTTTTTTAGATGTGCTGCTGACATACATTTAAACCTTTCTTTCCCAAAATGTGTACTTTTATATAGTTTAAACATTTAATATGATTACTATGAATAAAATACGGATTTATGAGATTGGCAAATTATACGTTTTAATTTACATTTAACACAACATCCCAAAATGTTTTGAAGTTGAGCCTCTGCATAGCATCTCTCTGATAATTTCATGCCACAAGAACGTGATGTTGGTTTTGTAACTGGCATGAAAAATGGGATGAAACGTGGGAATGAACTAACCTTCCACACGTTTTTCCTCTCCTCTCTTCAGGTACTTTCCATTTGGTATTGTATTCCTGGTTGCTGGAAAGATCCTGGACATGCAAGACCCGGCCCACCTCGGAGAGAAGCTCGGCATGTACTTCATCACCGTTCTGTGTGGTCTGCTCGTGCACGGCCTCATCTTGCTGCCTCTATTCTACTTCTTCTTCACCCACAAAAATCCCTTCCCCTTCATCAGAGGGCTGCTGCAGGCTCTTGTCATTGCGCTGGCAACTTCATCCAGGTAAGAAGATATGTTTTGTTTTTTTATCTCAGGTACAGCGGCTCGGCCTGATTACCAAATCCCACCATCCTTTGATATTGTTTCATATATTTCAGCTCAGCCACGTTGCCAATAACTATGAAATGTCTTCTGGAGAACTGTGGGGTGGACCGGCAGATAGCTCGCTTTGTCCTGCCGGTGGGAGCCACCATCAACATGGACGGGACCGCCCTGTATGAGGCAGTGGCTGCCATCTTTATAGCTCAGATCAATGAGTATGACTTGGACTTTGGCCAGCTGGTCACCATCAGGTGGGCATCAACTCAAGTCCATTAGAAGTTATTTTGTGTAGTGAACCATTACGGGGTTCTTAACGACACATCGCCTCTTTTTTCAGTATAACGGCAACTGCAGCAAGCATCGGGGCAGCTGGGATACCTCAGGCAGGTTTGGTAACCATGGTGATTGTCCTGACCTCTGTTGGTCTACCCCCTGCTGACATCTCCCTGATTGTAGCCATCGACTGGGTTCTGTGAGTCTCTATTAAATTGATATTAATTTAACTGAAGATGAAGGCAGTTTGGGCAGTGGGTCAACAATTGTCCCTTTTGTTTTCCAGTGATCGGTTCCGGACTATGATCAATGTTCTGGGTGATGCTTTAGCAGCTGGAATTATGGCTCATATTTGTAAAAAAGACTTTGACAAAGCAGCCGCTGCTACTGCTGCCACTTCTGTTGCCAATAATGGACGGGTAAGAACAATTTGTGACTGCAGAGAACATTGCACATCTGACCATGTACAGGTTTAAAACACCACCTTTGACTATGACCCGCCAACAAGGAGAAATGGTATCAATGCTTTGGCCTTTGTGTGCATCTCAAGATACCTGCATGAGTGACCTTAAAAAACATGAAAAGGCATTACTGTATAGTTCAGTCAGTTTTACAGATGTCGTGCTAAACGCTGGCGTCGTAGTAGCTGCAAGAAATCCACAACACAAGCTCCAAGTGCTACTCATGCTTAAGGATCTTTGCTTAAAACTATTTGGAGTCAATCCTGTTTGTCAGACAAATATCCCATAAACCATTAAACAGCTTTTTTTATAAACTTTCAGGACAATAATCCATAAATGAGCGTTTAAATTTGATTCACTTTAGGAAACAGCACAAATCAAGATGGCTGCTACTGCTGATGGACATTAGACAAGACAAAATTGGGTGTAACTCAGTCAGTTTCAGATACTGAGTTAAAATGTGTAGTGGTAGTAGCTGAGAGTCATTCACAACACACACTCAGAGAGTGGCCCCTCTTTGTCTAAGGATATAGTCTTACTTGTGCGAGTTGAACCCCCACATACGTTATGATCCATATGTCAGAACTGACTCAAAATTTGCAGAACACATGGAGCCCAGACACTTGTAACAATTTTAAAGGATTTTCAATAAACACAGTCATCCAGAACAGTTGGGAGCTCCAGGCAAAACGAACAGAACCAGGAGAAGCCTTGAAACAGCAGCAGATTTGGACCACTCCTCTAACCCTGTAATCTAAGGGTTTTATCTGAACCAAAAACCTGCAAAACAGGACTGTGGATAACTCCCAAACCCAACTAACAGTTAATTTCTAACAGAAGTGAAGGCTGGTGTCTGTAGTCGAAGGGGGCAGGTGCATGTGTGGAGAGAGATGGAGGGCAGAACCAGCCTCCAACACCTCCAGCCTCTCCACGCTCACATTCTCCAGCCAATCGGCTGTGGAAACAGAGGACGTATCATTTAAACAGACTCATTAGGGGAAAATGACACGGGGCACTAACAAAGTTAAGTCAGGTCCTCTGGACGGTTTCTTTTTGTTGAAACATTTCTTCTTTCATCCAAAACACTTCATCAGTCCGAGGAGCTGCGACAAACCCAGTCTTATAAACAGCATCTTCTCATAGTGGATCAACCAGTTTGATGGTGCTCAGACGGTTTCTGGAGTCCACCCTCTCCCCCGCCGACTCGTTTGAGGCACCATGGCCAAAGTGGTTCAAAACATCCTGATTCATGCTCAATAATCCAGGTAGAAAAATCCAACAAAGTTAAGTCCTCTGGACGGTTTCTTTTAGATGAAACATTTTGTGTGTGTTTTGAACCTATTTGGCCATGACTGCCTCAAACGAGTCGGCGGGGGAGAGGGCGGACTCCAGAAAACATCTGAGCACCATCAAACTGGTTGATCCACTATGAGAAGGTGCTATTTATGAGACTGGGTTTGTCGCAGCTCCTCAGACTGAAGAAGTGTTTTGGATGAAAGAAACGTTTCAACAAAAAGAAACCGTTCATTTGGTGGATTTTTGTACGTGGATTATTGAGCGTGAATCAGGATGACACAGGGCACGAATACAGTAGTCTCTCTCTAGTTCGCCGTTCGTTTATCGCAGACTCGCTCTATTGCGGTTTTTCAAAATAAGATTGGACATGACACACAACTGGCTGATTGATGGATGAGCTGCATGATCAGCATGGATTTTTTATTTAAAATGAATTGTTTAAAATTATTTAGCACCTGCTGCATCTCTGTGCAGCCCACGCTGCAGGATAAGCTTCCTGCTGCAGCTGATCAGCTGATCTCCGTGCAGAGTGGAGAAGTGGGCGGGGCCGAGATTGCTTGCAGGTGGCTGAGTGCAGCACAGAGCTAAACTCATGACAAGCTGTGTTCTTTTAGAGCGTTTAGAGTTTAAAAACATTGCTTAGAATATTGCAAATGGGGGAAGGGTTTAAAATGCCCTTATATATATATATATATATATATATATATATATAAATATATATATATAATACTAAAATAAACTACTACTACTTGTACTACTATTCCTACTTTGCGGTTTTTTACTTATCGCAGGTCTTCAGGGTACGGATCCCCCGTGATAAACGAGGGACTACTGTATAATCACACAAATTACTGTATGTCCAAGGTTTGACCATGAAGGCTACAGCTCTGTCATTTCTCAACATTAGATGATCTTAGTTTGAAACTCTGGCTGAAAAGGTGGTGTAATCTGTAATCCTTCATAGACTTATATGTGATTCGTTTTGCATCGTTACGTATCTCCAGGGACCTTTGTTCAAGGACACTTCCAAACTAACTGTAGTGATCTTTTCTCGCTCCCCGCAGAGAGACACAGTAATCTCCTTTGGCAATCAGAGCGTGGCCCTGTCTGACGCTCCTCTGATCGCGCACCGCTGCGATTACGTGTTTGAAGTGGACGGAGACAATGTGCTGGAGAAACCCTTGCCCTGCTATAATCTCTGCCAAGTGTGAGGCACTTTTACCAGGATGGGCAGAGAAGGATGTGTTAAAGCTCTGAAACGTTCAAGTCCTGCTTGAATTCTGGCTTCAGTGAGACCAAATGTTGGGTCAGGGCTGAGTGGCCTAAATGGATTAATGCTGTGCCATGCCTGAAAACAGAAATGTCCTTTGCTTGATGGTATAGGGGTACATTAAAGGGCATGCTGTCTCCAGTTTGAACTGGATGGCAAGATGGAAGGAAAGGTACCGAATCCCATCTACAGGGTCTGATTGCAGAGGAGGCATCAATGCACAGTAGTGACATGGGAATAATTGGAATAAGGGCTGATCAGTTACATTTAAAGGTTTTAACTGCCTTATTACAAGCTTAGTAATGGAAATACTTGAAAATTAAACTCAGTTTTAATAAATAACATTTGCTGTTAGACAAGTTATAGATTATCAAAGCAACAAGACATAAATGAAATAATACCAAAGCACAGAATAATGATCTTTTTGTTTTTATACTAATGCTTCGAAGTGTGTTTTGTAATAAAAGAATCTTGTTACACACCACTGCTGCAAGTGTTTTTTTTTTTATTCTACCAATTTAGCAGCACATTTTCCACGGAAAGCTCGATGCGTGTGAAATACAGCAGCGGCCCCAGCCTTGTTATGGATCACAGACTGGTTTTGTAAAAGACAACTTGACCTCAGACTAGCGATAAATAAGTTTTCCAGAAAGGATTGTTTTACTCTTTTTTTGGTAGGGTTAGCTTTTATGTTTGATGAAACGTGAAAATGCTCAATCACTGGAAAAATGTGCAATAGAAGTGGTTAGTTTTCAAAATAAAACATCCCTCACATAAAAAAAAACAATTTCTTTGAAAGAAAACTTCATTTTGATGCAGACCAGTCCATGGTGTTTGGGAATCCCTAGCATACAGTAGATCAGAAGTGTCTTACTTGGCTGTGGACTTCAGAAAACCCAGTGGACCAGCACCAGCAGCGGACATGGACCCAAACCATCACCGACTGTGGGAACTTCACTCTGGACTTCAAGCATTGTGGATTCTGGACCTCTCCTCTCTTCCTCCAGACTGAGACCTTGACTAAAAAAATAACATGAAAATTTACTTTCATCTGAAAAAATTGGACCACTGAGCAACAGTCCAGTTCTTTGTCACCTCAGCAGGTAAGATGCTTCTGACTCTGGCTCAGGAGTGATTGGACTTGAGGAACGAGACATGTCCGAGATTTGTCTGTGAATTATGTGTTCGAGTGTCAAATATGGAACTTTATCACAATATTCTAATATTCTGAAATACTGGGTTTGGGGTTTTCATTATCTGGAAGCCATAATCATAAAATGTATAAGAAATAAAGGCTTGAAATATTTCACTCTGTGTGTAATGAATCTGAGGTTCACTTTCTGAAATGACTGACAAAAAATTGAACTTTTTCACAATAATTTATTAGATGCACCTGTAAGGTTCACAAGACTGTGAAGCTCATCAAAAGGTGAAGGACCGTGAAGATTTAGCAAAATAGCTCATGAATTATTGGACTGACTTTAACAAAACTTGCAGAACGTAATCACTGGATTTACACAGACTAATTGCAGTTAACACAATTTAGCCACAGCTAACAGATCTTAAACAAAAAAATATACCGTACGATGGGGTGATGAGGTGGATGATTGAGCAGCAATGATCTTTTTGGAGAACATTGCTGCTCATCTGCAGTTTCACAAAGATCACGTGGACAAACCAGAAGACTGTTGAAGAATGTTTTGTGGACGGATGAGACCAAAATAGAACTTTTTGGTTTAAATGAAAAATGTTTGGAGAAATAAAAACTCTGCATTCCTGCAGAAGAACCTGATCCCATCTGTGAAACATGGTGGTGGTAGTATCATGGTTTGGACCTGTTCTGCTGCATCTGGGCCAGGACCAGTGCTTAATTTGAGCCAGACCCTGCTGGAACAGAATCTGGTAATTCTCTTATTTTGACAGTGTGCGTTCCGGTAACTTTCAGGTTTACTATTGATAAAAGTTATGGACAAATAAAACTGCCTTGAACAAATAAAAACTTATATTGGATATGGAAACTAAAAATAATTACATGAACACTAATTTTAAACAACAGCCGCTTACGAACATACTGTAAGCATTTCCACGTCTACCCTTAAAGAAATCTCCACCCCTAAAAGAGTGGTGGGGTAAGTGGTGTAGTACGCGGGCAGGAGCTCAGAGCCGCAGGCAGGCGCCTGGAGGTTTCACGTGGAGTCAGACGAGCAGGGACCGTCTGGCTCACTTCCGAGCCTGACTTGACTGTTCGGTCAAGAAACGGCGCTTGACAGAAGCGGAGTGTTTACAAATTTGGATAAACGTAGATGTTTAAAAACCTGTTCAAACTGCATCTACTTTATTCAAAATTTTCAGGGGGAGGACCCCCAGACCACCCGCTTTTTGCATTCCGGCATCGATCGGTTTACGAATTAAGCCCTGGCCAGGACGGCTTGTCATCACTGATGGAGCAATGAATTCTGATTTACAGTATATCTGAAAACTCTAAATTCAATTCAATTAAATTCAAACATACTTAATTAATTCCAAAGGGAAATTATTTGTTGCTGTAACTCGTTATCCTGATTTCATTGAGATGTTATAGATACTGATGGCTGTAGGCAGGAAGGATCTCTTGTAAAGGTCCATCCCACAGTGGATCCTAAGAAACTGGCTGCAGATGCCGTCCGATCCGTCCACCCAGACTCGGCTGTCCTCTCGGTTCCCCCGGACTGTAGGACCGCACAAATGCAGGGCAGAACTCCTCCCAGTGCGATGGCTACTCCTCCCAGCAGTCTTCCGAGCTCCTTGTCGCTGCAGACAGACAACTGTAGGTGCCGAGGGACGATCCTGTCCTTCTGCTGTCATGAACCGTGTTTCCTGCTAGTTCCAGGATCTCAGTGGTCAGGTACTCGAGCACAGCTGGCAGGTAGATGAGAATGCGTCCACAGAACATCCTTTTCAACTCATTTGAGATTTGGGGCTGTAGTTGAGATATTATTTGAGCTTTTGAGATGTTAATCAGCTGCTGTTGGTTGTAGAAAACTGCCTTGTTGCCATGGTTACACATCATAACAAATGTCCAAAACTAAAAAGTTTTAGTAAAAATCCTTCGAGCTGCACAGCATCTGATACCAGAGGAAACAATCATCCAAAAAAATGTGATTTACATCCAGAAAAAGAGGAATTAAAGTTTCCAAAAGCAAAATCTCAGAATGAAAAGCGTGGTTCGCCATGCTGCGGAGCCTCTAAAGTTTGCATACCGTAAGACGGGGTGATGATTCTCTACCTTATGCACAGGGCTCACCGTCACATAGACTAGTTTAACGGTGCTGTGAGGGTCATGTTTTGTGACTTCTCCAGTGTCTTCAACACTATCCAGCCCCTGATATTGAGACAAGCTTGAGATGGAGGTGGACACATCTGCTCTCCTGGAATACCATCTCACTGAGAGACCACAGCACGTCAGGATCAGGGACTGCATCACCGACAGTGGTGCAAATCCAGCCACCAACAGCTGAACATCAGTGAGACAAAGGAAATGGTAGTGGACTTCAGAAGGTCTGGGAGCCAGTCTCAGTTGAAGGGATCGATGTGGAGATGGTCAGGAACTACAAATATCTGGGCATACAACTGGATGATGGGCTGGACTGGTCAGCGAACATGGACTCTATTCATTCAACCTTTATTTAGACAGGTAATCCCATTGAGCCTCGAGGACTAATTTACAAGAGAGACCTGATTTCAACAAAGAATTATGACAACAATGAACAACAGCAACAACAATAAACAGTTATAAAAAGTCATACTGCAGGTTTTTTTTTTTTTTTTTTACAAATAGGATGGCTAAAAGAAAAAAGTAACAAAAAACAGCTAGATTCTAAGGCAAATGTAGAAAACTAAAAACAGGAACATGTTTGCCTAGTTCAGTCCTCACTGAGGGAACACTGCAGGTACTCTCTCTACAGGAAGGACCAGAGCAGGCTCTTCTTACTGAGGATCAGGTCCTTCAGTATCTGCAGGAAACCTGCTGATGTTCTACCAGTCTGTGGTAGTGTCTTCTTCTGTACTGTTGTGTGTTGGGGAGGCAGCATTAAGAGGATAGATGCAGGGAGACTGGACATGCTGGTGAGGAAAGCTGGTTCTGTGCTGGGAACAGAGCTGGAGTCCCTTACATCAGTGGCAGAGAAAAGGACCCTCAGTAAGCTGCTATCCATCATGGACAATGATGACCATCCTCTGCACGGCGCCATCATGAAGCAGAGGAGCTCCTTCAGCGGCAGACTGCTGTCCCAGCCCTGCTCCACAGACAGAATCAGGAAGTCCTTTGTCTCTCAAGCCATCAGACTGTTCAACTCCTCCCCGTACAGTAAAAATAGAGCCTTGTAATCTGCGGTACTCCGCGGACACTTACGTATGTGCATGTATGTATATATTACGGTAAATTAACATTTGAAAAAACAGAATTACATTAAGCCAAAGTGGATTTTTTTTTTTTTTTACTGTATTAACAGCATAAACCCGAACAACAGAACGATATACAGTACACACAACGGAGATATGCGTGTACTGTATATTCTAAAAAAAAAAAGTTGTCAGGTCCTCTGCATGTTCAAAAAAATAAAATCGTAGAAACGTTTCATCTTTCATCCGAAAGGCTTCTTCAGTCTGAGGTGCTGTATTCAGCTCAGTCTTATAAATAGCACCTTCTCATAGTGGGTCAACCAGTTTGTCGTCGACATTCAAAACTACTTGTTCACATGATCAAGGAGGACCATCAGCCTAACAATCATTATGGATCGTTAGCACCGTGATGGCTGCTTGCCATCCACAGGGGGCTGAGTGATACTAGCAATAACAGCATTGTAAGAGGGGGACAGTTGAACATGGAGGCCTCCAGAGGACAAGACTTAACTTTTTTAGATTTTTCTACCTAGATTATGGAGCATGCATCAGGACGTACTGTATATTGCTCCGTTTGGTTTTATGCTGTTAAGTAAAAAAAAAAAAAAAAAACTTCCTATTTGGCTTAATGTAATTATTTTTTCAAATGTTCATTCACACCTTAAGGCCACTGTAATATATACATGTACATATGCGTATAGACATGTATATGCATGCTTAGATGACACGTCCTCATTGTATCACGGTGCAATGATAATAAAGCTTATTCTGAGATGTGTATACAAGTTAATCATGAATGTAGTACTCTCTACCACTTTGTGCAGTTTTTCCACATGCATTTTTTTTTTTTAAAATCATGTCTTTTCTGTATAATTAGAACATGCTCCTGGATGCCTCAAATTTCTCCGTGATTAATAAAGTATCCATCTACGGTATCTTTCCATATGAAAGAAAAACGGCAAAACTGTCCATGAACTGGATCTGAAGAGAAGGTGGGTCATGCAGCAACAACGACCCTCAGCACACAAGTGGTTCTACCAAAGAATGTTCAAGAAGAATAAAGTTCATGTTCTGGAATGACCAAGTCAAAGCTCTGACTTTAATCCAATCCAGATGTTGTGGAAGGACCTGAAGCAGCAGTTAATGTGAGGAAACCTCCAACATCCAGAGCTGAAGCTGTTCTGTACGGAGGAATGAGCTAAAGTTCCTCCAGGCAGGTGAGCAGGACTGATCAACAGTTACTGGAAACATTTAGCTGCAGTTGTTGATGCACGGGGGGGAGGGGGGGGTCCACACCAGATACTGAATGCAAAGTTTCACATTCTTTAACCATTCACAAATATGTAATACTGGATTGTTTTCCTAACGACCAAATATTTTTAACTTGTTTAACTGGGTTCCATCTATTTTGACGTGTGTGACAATCTGATGTTTTAGGTTTGTGCAGAAATATGAACAGTTCTAAAGAGTTCACAAACTTTCAAGCACCACTGTAATCATCAAGGTTTGACCAAATGGCTACCTCAGTAAATTAACAGCCCAAGATTTTAGCTGAAAACTCATAAAAAAAAAAGGTGCCAGGTATCGTTATTTACATCTTACACAAGTTTATTGGTTCATTAAAATGCCTTAAATAGTTTAATATTCTAAACTCAAAGTATTTTCTGTTTTCACACAGTTATAAAGCAGAAAGTATGAAACTAATGTTCATGGATACGTTCCTTTAAAAGATAATGGAACCAAGAACCACATACTTGTGCGATGAAACCAGGTTCTTCTTACAAACGTTTCAAAATCACCAACAAAGGCCCAGCTGTGCATACAAAAAATAAAATCAAATCCATCCATCTTTAAGTTTTTTTCTTTCAGGGTAATGGGGGGGTCACTGGTGCCCATATCCATCAATGTGCGAGAAGTGGGAGACACTGGACAAGTCTCCAGTCCATCACTGGGACAACCAAACATTCACTCTCACTCACACCTAGGGACAATTTAGAGTTACCAATCAATCTAACATGCATGTACTTGATCTGTGGGAGGAAACTGGAGTACCCGGAGAAAACCCACGCACGCAGTGCACGTAAACTCCACCCAGAAAGGCCCCCTGGCCGGGATTTTAACCGGCAACCTTCTCACTGAGGCAACAGCTCTACCAACTGCGCCACCTGCCCTGAAAGAATAATCAGTAAGAAAATCCACAAAAAGTTTCTGAACACATTTAATTATTTTCCCCATCTAAAGTTTTTCTACATTTTATTGAAACGATTCAATGTTGGAAATTAGATTAGTTGAACAAGTTCAAAACAAACAAATCCATAAAACACTTAAGTATCAAGTATAACGGCGTACACTGTCAAATAAATAAAAGCCACTTTCAGTATATTAGTTTCCACGTATGAAGGCAGACTGCAGTTAACTAGGACCGCCTCCCAAAACAAACTGATTATACATTTTAACATGACTGCAAAAACAAACCCAAGCAGTAACAGGCAAGTCAAAATAAAAATATGTAAAAAAAGATGAAATTCAACTCACTTTAAGCAAGTTTTAAAATATTGCACAAAGTTACGGACTGTGACAACATGAGAATTTTACTTCAAAATGCACTTTAAAAGACTGAATCTAAACCTTGCATCTAAAGCGCTTCTACTAAAAAGGAGTTAAAACGCATCAACACGGCAGCAGGAAGTTTAGAATGGGTGGGAAGATTAAAAAGCAAACTTCCTCTGGTCTGTTCTTACAATTTGAAACAAAAATTGCTGGTTTAATGGCATTGCTCAAACTAAACTGATTTGTCTAAACATCGTTTTATGAACTTATTCAGTACAATAGAAAAAAATAAAAACAAGTGCCAATACACAACTTCTACAGCTTTACCTGTTAAGATGTTTGAACGTCAGCAGTCCCAACTCTTACTTACAGAAATATTGATGCTCAGCCCAATCCTCCGTTTGTTTTGGTCCATTTTACAATGAAAACATCTGGAACGTTTAGGTCTCCGTGTTATTTTGATATGCCTTAGGAAAAGCCCAATTTCGAATCACGGAACAGAAAGAACAAAACTCTAAATCTAATCTTGAATTTTAAAAAAAGTAAAGAAAGGAAAAAGAAAGAAACAAACCAAACATAACTCGGCAAAATGAAAAAAATTTAATTGTTTATGTTCAAAGAGAAACAATCAAAAACAAAAACAAAAAAAAAGCAAATCTAAAATAAAGGCCATAAGGTTCTCGCTAAAATTGAGATAAGTAACCCTTTACACACCCCACACTGAAACAGAAACGGATGCCTCTGCAAAACAACAAAACAAAATAACTGAAACAAAAAGACTCAAAAATAAACAAAATGTATATATAAAACAACAAAACCTAACACGGGCTGCTGTCAGGATGCAGCAGAAACAAAGTTAGTACCACAAGAACAGGAAAGAACTCCTGAACGGTCACACTGACATTTTGTAAGGACCAGAAAACATCTGGGTTAAAACATGAAAATCCCCCCGCCTTTGGTCCGGGTGAACTCTGTCCTCATCGTTTTGTTAACAGAAGGCTCCTGTAATGCAACAGGACGCTACACAGGGATTCTGGTTCTCGTCATAAATAAACCCGTTTGGTCAGGAGATGAGCAGAAGTTCTTGTTTAACATCTAGAAGGTTTGTTTTCAGCGCATCGAAGGGAAAGTGCTTTCATTTTTTGTTTTTTTTACAAACACCAGATGTTACTGTAGGACCTGTGTTCAATTTGGGATTATTTAAGGCATCTACTTCTACAGGTGATAAGATCCAAGTCAGGCTGACATTTTCCAGCTTTACACTAAAACTTTTAGACTTGAGCATAATGAAACATGCAAACGTGTAGATTGTATTTTAGCTTTAGACAACATTTTACAAAGAATAGGTATGGGTTAAGCTCTATACTCTATATTCAGTCATTAAAAAGAAAGAAAAAATAATAATGTGGAGGAGAACAAAAACAATTTTAAACAAGTACAAAAAGTGCAGAAGATTGAACTTCCTGTTTTTCTCTGAATATGATAAAACCAAAAATGTGCCCGACTTCGTTTCTGGTTCACCTTTTTACAACGGAAGCCTGACACGGATCAATTTCTGCCCTTCCCTAAACCCAGCTGTCCAACTTGTTTTACTTGTGGCCCTTGCTGGTCTTAAAGGACACTTGCAGTACTTTATCTCCGAGCCGGTACCCGTTCAGGCTGGCGATAGCCATGGCCGCCTCCTCGTAGTTTGTCATTGTAACGAAGCCGAAGCCTTTGCACTTGTTGGTGTTGAAATCTCTGATAACCTTGACGTTGGTGACCGCGCCGAAAGGACCAAACATCTGCCACAGGATGCCCTCGTCTGCATCCTGACCCAGATTGTAGACGAAGATGCACCAGCCGGAGGAGTTCCCGGGAACGTTCACACCTCCCATGCCCCCCATGTGATCAACACCCATTGGGGAAAACCTAAAAATTGAGAAACATCTTGTTAATTTGTTACACAGAAAACAAAACTGACCAATCTGTCAATCATTATTTTCTTGTAGGATCAACAAAATGCAAACTGAGCAAAAAGCCAGGCATGGGCTGGCCCCCCGTTTCAAGGTGCCAGTCACTCAATTATTGCATCATGCTCTTTCTAACTTACAACTGAGAACGCAGAGACGGTGTTACTTTTAGACAACAGAAAATGGGCCTGTTAAACTTTATAATTGGTGTCAAGACACTCCCAAATAGGTGCGCAGGAAAAATATCGATTCATTTAAGAATCTAGATTCTTAGACCTGGCGATTCTGAATCAAATTCATTTTAAAAAGTTTTTTTATTTTTGTTCGCTCCTACTTACTCTCGAGCGTACTGCATATCGCATTACGTGTCCACACGTCACCGTAGAATTTGGCCTTGTAGGCCACCGTACAGCAAGCTAGTTAGCAGCTCCCTTTATCTGAATGGAGTGTGCTAGCACGGAGGGGAGGACGGCATGATCCCACCTGCTCCTTTGCTGTTAAAAGTTGGTGTGGTCATTTCAGATCCTACAACGTTCCGGGGAAGACGGAGCTCGACAAGAGCACGGCTGTTTGCAACAAGTGTCAAGTAAAAAGTATTTTGGAAATGTAATAAATTTGCGGAAGGAAGATGAAAGCAGACCAGTGAACTCTGCAACAAACTTCCAGCTAATTCCTCACGAGCTGCAAAGATTTCCCTCTCCATCTCCGGCTATTTCAAAGGATTTACGACCAGACAGCTCAGTGGAAGGCGAGGGCTTTAAGTTCATTTTTAATACGATGGACTCAACGTATATTTATTCCTTCACAGTTTTTTATTTGTGATAAAGCAGCTCCACAACTCCGCCATGAAACAAAAATAAAGTAGGAGAAGCTCTGATGCTACCAGCTGCAGCTTAAAGGAAACTGTTTTTTCACATTATACAAAAACTTATATAATAAACTTAATGCAATTCGTATGTTTAACAGTTTTTTTTAATTATTAACCTTTATTTAACCAGGAAAATCCCATTGAGATCACTCTTTTTAACAGGTTGGAGAGGCCAGATGAGACATCTCCTGGAGCCAGTTCTAAATGATACAGTTTATAGTTTATAAATTACAGTTCAGAAAAGTTTTTGTGTAAACTTGCACAGGTTTTGAAATTTTGTTAAAGATTTACCAAATATGAATCAATATGGTTAAGACTGTGAAGTTTGTATATTTCATATTAGGTTAAGTTTTGAAAATAGAGAAATATGGTTTAAAAAAAAAAAAAAAAAACCTGTGAAGTCTATTTCATTTTGAGTTAAAGGTTAATGTACTATGACAGGCTGAACTATTTGTTTACTTTTGTATTTATATAGTTTGAATTATTTGTCTGATGGACTGGGGACCTGTCCAGGGTGTCCCCTGCCTCTCACACAGTGATGGCTGGATATGGACACCAGTGACCCAAAATGGAAGAAGTGGGTAAAGATAATGGATGGATGAATTATTTGTTCCTAGATATTTTTATTTTAGAAAAAGCCTTGCAGCTAAGCTAACCTAATACTGATCATTTGAGTTACAGAATTTTATGCACTCCTGTATTTGTTCCTATTTTTGGTATAAAAATATAAAATGTTGCAAAAAGATTTGATGCAGTAAAGAACCTAAAATTATCGTTTTAAATTAATGTTCTATTTGTTTACACCGTTTAATATTTTCATCTAGTCAATTACATAATTGAAACAACATGCACGACCAGTTCAATTGAAAAATCGATTCAGAATCGGAATTGTGACACCAAAAATTGGAATCAAATTTCCAGACAGAGAGTGGCACCCCTACTCTTAAACAACAACAACACGTTTGTCCGGATGCAGGTCGTTTTTCTACCCACTTCTCATCATGTAGCAACTTTTGGACAAAATTACAACCTAGTTTTGCCACACACCGTCTTGCCTTGAGCAGCTTGTTAGCACAATTTAATAAATCTAAATCAACTGGTAATGGTTTGATTCTCTTTTGACTTTCTTCCATCCAACATGTTGCACACGTCTGAAAACGAGTGCACGGTTTACAAACTTGATCTTTCCTGTAACCCAACTAGTTTGATAACAACAGTCATCTTATGAGGGGCTTAACGTTACTTTACAAAGGGCAAAACAGGAGGAAAAAAATCAGTTACTTTAGAAATATACTGTATTTTGTAGACTATAAGGCGCATTTAAAAATCCTTAAATTTTCTCAAAAATCCCAGTGAGCCTTATAATCCAGTGCACGTTATGTATTAATTCTGGTTGTGTTTACTGACTTCGAACTGATTTCATGTGGTACACAGCACTCAAAAATCTGTGAAAATTAACTTTTTTCGCTTAATGCTCCTTATAATCCAGTGCACCTTATAGTCTGATAAATATGGTATATATGATGCTTGTTTTGTTTTTTTGGTGGGAAAAAAACAAAACATTTTTTCCATTCTTGAGCTCTGAAAACTCATTTTGTGCACCAGTTACAGGCAGAACTGTTGTAGAGGTATACACCAACTACTGTGTGATTGATCAGAACTTTGCTGTGAGCGTGGTCATACAGATAAACTGTAAACTGAAGGCTCTCATTTCAGAGCTCATCACACATGGCCCAGGCAGTTATGAAATAACCTTTAAAACTATACAACAGCAAAACTCTTAAAGATGGTTAAATACACCTCATACAGTCAAGGAGGCAAGAGCAGTGACGCCGGCACGGCTGGACTGGCCGTGAGGGAGAATGCCTGTCGAGCAGCACAGGGACACACTGTGCCCAGTCAGTCGAAACGGTGGTGGTCTGTGACAAGCGTTTTAAAATGACTGCTAACACCTTTACTTGGGTTCTGGTACCCTCCTTATTTAAATCTGTGAGTTCAATCTAAAGTGTCATGAAAATAAATCTTATATTATTATTTATCTATATAATTATCGGGAAATAAGCCATAATTTTACCACCATGAAACTTTGGTATTTAGCTTCATCAGAATCTTAAACAGCCCATGCCCTTTAAAAACAAAGAACTTGTCTATTTAAATGTATTTTGGTGATCACGTCTCACCGAAATCGTTGTGCCTGGTGGTGTAAGGGCCCTCCAAAGCGCCGGGACTGGTTATGGTACAGCTGAGAAATGAACTGTGTGTTCTTGAGCTGATTTGGGTTGGCAGCAAATTTCACCGTCATGGGTTCAGTGGCCCCTGGTGGTTTTTGACCATTCAGGTTTTTGACAGCTTCCTCCGCCTCCGATCGCTTGTCAAACCGGATAAAAGCCACGCCGCGGGACACACCTGGACACACGAGAGTAAACGATGAGTCCCTGCTTCAGTGCAAGCATCACAAACGTGTTTTCAATTCAAAAACAGCTGTGATTTAGTGCAGATGTTGTTCTGTACCTTTTAGTGATTTTAAAAAGCAAGGAAGCCATTCACCTGTCATACCTGTAGACTGGTCAGCGAGTACTCGAGAATTAATTATACGACCGTAACGTGAAAACATATCTTCCACATCCTTCTGTGACAGGGACTTGGGCAGGCCGCTGATATACAGGTTGGCATCCTTTATTATGTCTGAGCTGGGTCGGGCATAAGAAACCTGAGAAGAAAGACATAACTGCTTTATTCAAACGCTTTATTTATGTTCAAGTTTACCTAAAGTAAACGTCTAACTTTAGGCAGCATCATCGGGGAACATATTTAGTGTTTTGGTAAATTACAATTTACCAGAAGTATTTGGTTTTAAAAATATATACAATTAAGAGTGAATAAAACAAAACTAATCTGATAAAAGGACTGTCAACCATTTGTTCTCTCATTGTCACGTTGTTTCAGCCCCAACATTACAACAATGGAAAAAGTAGAAAATAAATTAACAAAAACTAGAAAATAAAGAGTTAAAATTAGGTCAATTTTAAGTCAAAGTTAGACTTATCTGATGGGGAATCAAGTGAGCTGTTAAACCGCAATCACTTCCAGGAGCTGACATGTCCTAGCTAGTTAGCAGGGAGCACAGGAGCCACAGGACAGTAACATGACATCTTTGCTTTGAGAATTGTAGAACACCTTGTATCACGTTACCTTGATAGTTTTGGACTGTAGCCTTAGTCCATTGAGAGTACTGATAGCTCTTTCTGCATCACTAGGGTTAAGATAGTTAACAAATCCGTACCCTAAACTGTGGCCTAGAAAAAAAAAAAAAAAAGGAAAACAATAAAACAAAAAAACGTATCGTTTAAAAAAAAATCTGCAAACAAATATTTAAAACAAAAAAATCTTTACATTGCATGCTATCTTAATCAAACAAATTGTCTATATTTAAATAGAATAAAACTTCCAATAAACAAAACAAGTCTAACGTGGTCAAAAACTACGACTAAGTTCATACTAAGGAAAAAATTTTGGGGAATCAATTAAATTTGACAGTATCCTGAGGGCCAAAGACCCAGGTAAGGTTATAAAAAGATGACATGGCAAAGACCAAGACATCTCAAAATAAGAACCAGGCCAAAGAAATAAAACCATAAAGGCTGAAATGTCATAACTGTCTGAAATATCACAAGTTGGATCCACACCCACTACTGTCTGAACAATTGTAAATTGAGAACGTTTCCATTTATATATAAACATACATTTAAGCCACAATGTAAAAAAATAATATAGTAGAATCACCCATGGACAAAATCTGGAAGAGGACAGCATAATTGTGGCTCCTTTTGGAAACTATGTACTCTTGTTGGCTCCATATAATTAAATATGGTCAATATTCTTTAAAGACTACAGGTTCAATGTTTAAATTCACTGCATGTGTTATTGCTTCAACGTCCAGCATACCTGCAACTTTATCTCGAACCAGCTTGGCAGACTCAACTTCTCCGATGCTGTTGAAGAGACTTCTCAGCTCATCCTGCGACATGCTTTGAGGCAGGTAGTTCACTATCAGGTTAGTCTTGGCATCCTTCGCCTCATCCCCTCCCATGTGGTCTTCATAACCGTTAGACATCTCATACACCTCCTAGAGGTCAGAAAATAAAATAAAAAAGATTAGCTGGCATTTTACTCCACAAGGAATGAAGAAATCTGATCTCGCTGACGTAGTTGAGAGAAGACAATCACATTAATGTGATCATTGATCAGCTCGGAGAAGCTGTTCCCAACACAAGGTCTGGGCAGAACTTTTGTCTCTCTGGGGTGTGCATCAACTGTTGTGTAATTGGTCTGAACTTTGATGTGGGCATGTTCATGCAAAAAAAAAAAAAAAAAAAAAAGAGAGGATGAAGATGAACTGCAGTGGTGCCGTTTGGCTTCAACCACTTCCCTAAGGATCAGCCGGACAAGGCTGTTGGATAACACAGCCATTTTTACTACTGTTCCTGCAAAACTTAGTCAAATGGTAAAAAACTTGTGAAGGGAGACAGCCTAAAAATTGTGCAGAGGAGATTGTGAGAAACTAGCAATCTTTCTGTCACAAAAGCTGAATTTGTACAAAAACAGATTAAATTGTCTGACATGATTGTTACGTCCAGTTTATATTTAATCTTGCCTCTTCACAGCTCCTCTGGCACAGCATGTGTTTTTGGAATGTGTGCAACGTACTTAAGGTAGAAACAAAAGAATTTATCCCATCATGTTAGTTTTGATACAGTCAACACTAACATTTGTATCATATACTGCTGTTGATTTTCAGTCATGCAGGACATGGCAAATTAAAAGAAAGAGGTAAGGAATTGGACTTCTGTAGCTGAAGACATGCGGAGTTCCAAGATCGGTTGGCAGCAAGGTTGACTTGATATTAATGTTGATTGGATAGGTCTGATTAACCACACCCCAGTGACAATTAAATGAGACATGACTGTTCAGACGGAGGTTGCTTTGAAAAACATGGGACATTGATTAAAACTATGTAAGAAAAAGACAGGAGTCAAATTAGTCACTTTCAGACTAACATGAAAATAAATAAAATCTGATTTTGGTTACAAAGGGACAAAAAAAATATCTGAATTGGGTCGCATTTGCCTGCAGTGTGAACGAAGCCAAATTTACAGGGATGGATGAGTGAAGACCCTGTCGGGAAGAAAACCATTTAGGTGCTGTGTGTGGGAGGGCTTCCTAGCTGCTGCTGTTTTTGAGGAATGAAATCTTCACGCAGAAAGTAACATCTCACAAGAATCCTCAAGAGCAGATTTCTTCACATCTGTGAAGTGTGATTCTAGCTGTTTTCAGCTGACAAAGTGCTTATCCTTTCAGACAAACGCTATTAAACTAATCAAGCAAGTTTACAAAAACCATGCGACAAATAATGTGCAACTCATACTTCATAATGGACTACAGTTTTAGGTTTAGACTTTTACTACAGTTAATAATGAACTTTCTTCCAAAAGTACATAAAGCTACTATAAAAACACAAATGCCCAAGGCTGATTAAATCAACACAGAATTTCTAATAATCATTGTAAATAAATCTTAATCTTATTGTATTCACAAAAAGTGCTTAATAAGTACAGTAGTCCCTCGTTTATCATGGGGGATCCATTCACTGAAGCCCCGTCATAAGTGAACAACCGAGAAGTAGGAAAAGTAGCACAAGTAGTAGTAGTTTATTTTAGTGTGTGTGTGTGTGTATATATGTGTATGTATGTATGTATGTATGTATGTATGTATATATATATATATATATATATATATATATATATATATATGCGCGTTTTAAACCCTTCCCACACTCTTGCAATATTCTAAACAAAGTTTCTAAACTGTAAATGCTCTAAAAGAGCACAAGATGTCATGATTTAAGCTCCCCGCCTCAGCTGCTCTTGGCCACGCCCACTTCTCCACTCTGCACGGAGAACAGCTGATCAGCTGCAGGAGCAAGCTTTTTCTGCAGCTGTGGGCTGCACACAGGTGCATGATGTAGTGCTGTTCGATACCAGGATTTCTGGTCTGATACGATATTGTGTGAGTTACAGTCTGGTATCGGCGATACCGATACTTAATACTATGTGCAAAGACGCCTAATGTTTCAGGCAAACTTAAAAAATAAATAAATAAATAAATAAATAAATCAGTGTATTTCAAATCAAAGCTGCTTAAAATGTGCAAGACATCAAAGTATTTTATCTATTTTAAACTCAGGAGTATATTGAAGTGGTGGCTTCATTTATAATATAGCTGAGCTTATGCAACAGAAAATAGCAGAGGACACAATTAAGCAAAATATGTGAAAATGGTGTTTCAAACACAAAAAATAAAAAAAATAAGGAAAATCATAACTATTAAAATAAATTATTAAATATCTATTAAATAATGAGATATGTTTTTAAGATAATACATTTTTATCCATCTTTTCTAGTATATTTTCTTCAGAGTTCACCAATGCCGTTCTATCACCAATGCTCTGTATAATTTGATGACACCTAGAACATAATCAACTTTAAATGATCGATATTCTTTAGGAAACCTTCCCTGAATAAATCTAGGCTTTTTTTGCCCATGTGGGATTATCTCGGTGATGCACATATTACTCCAAACTGAACTCATGCAAATATTTGCTGAAGCAGGGATTTATTTAGTTAATTATTTCATAACCATATGTAATAATTTGAACAACTCTGACAAACTGCAACAGTTTTTAATGTTGCTTGTAGAGATGCACCGATCCGATACCAACACCGGTATCGGTCCCGATATCGAAAAAACTTCTGGATCAGGTATCGTGACAACGTGACCGATCCATGACTGGGCAGATCTATTCACTCCAATTCTATGCTTTGTGCTCTGAGTGACATCACACGGTAGTGAACTCACCGCACAGATTGTTTTCAAAATGAAGCGAGTGAAAGGATCAGCCATCTGGAACTATTTCACACAACCTCAGGCAACACATTTGACAGCTACGTACAATACGTGCGCAGCGACGGTTCCAAGGGGTGGCACTAAAACTTCCATTTATAACACCACCAACGTAATCAATCAGATCAAGATCGGTATCGACCAACACTAAACATCAGATATCGGTATCAGAAGTGAAAAAAGTGCGTCGGTGCATCGCTAGTTGCTTGCAGCTCCACATGTCCTCCCTCTGTACCTGGATAGTCCTGCAGCACTGAAGGACTCCTCCAGAGCCCATCTTGTCCTCCAGCATCATCTGACTCATAGCTCTCCTCCTCTGTCTGCCTCACCAACACTTCATATTCTGTTTTAACTAGAAGCAGTGTTTCCCCTACCATTATACAAGCGGGGCGCCCCGCCCCGTCAACAGAACCGAGCTCCCCGTCTACCGAACCCTACCCCCACCCACCTGTCTGCACTGACGCAACGCTAAACTAGTGGCTCGCAATGCAGGTGCACTAGCTAAAAAGCTAAAGGCAGCCTCTTCCTTCATGCTGAACCCTCACGCTGAACGCACCCCCGCCACTCGAAAACTGTCGGTACAAACGGCGCACGGCTCA